ACGCCATCAAAGAAAGAACAAGACCCACTCAATACCAGGAAAAAGGCTACTCCATACTCAAGATGGTTTCTTAATGAGACACAGAGTAATTGCACAGAAAAAGAGAGTCAAAATCACAACAGTCAATGAGAAAACAAATGGTCTGTGCTACCGGTGTTGAGCCTCAAGCCGCTGCTCCAGCTTCTGCTGACAGAGGACGGCATGTTTCCTCCTCGGGGCCTGCTCAAAGCCTGGCTGAGCCTGCAGGGCCTGCTCATAGCACATCACGGAGTGATTATACTCCCCCAACATCTACCAAAGAGACAGGAGGAAGGGAAAGAGATGCAACAAGCAAGTGAGTGTCATTCGATATAAACAAGGAAATCAGATACTAAAGAAAAACTGCCATTTCCTGTCCAGCAGAAAGTGCATGTGCACAGAGGAAGTTCAAAAACATCTTAAAAATGTATTTTCAGAAACCATCCCTCTTCTTCAATGCGCTGCACTCACAGCGTAAATGTTGCCCAGGGTGTAATGGCTGGTTAGGAGATCGGTGGTGAGATCCAGAGCAGCGTGGGTGAGAATGGCGGCGTCAGCCGAGAAGTGTGCTCTGTGAAGTATGTTTGCCATATTGATGAGAGCAACATCTTTGTGCTGCCTGCAATAAGAGAACAAGTACATGCAAATGTATGTAAAACAAGTTGACACAACTTATGCAAGTCTTTGTGCAGGTGATCGAAACACTGATTTCTCTGTAGATATGCTATGCCCACTATCCATCTGCTAATTATATCCATGTGTCATTTCACTTTACCTTGGAGAAAAATGGAGAGCACGGACCACACATTCCACAGCTCGCCTGGGTTCATTCTTCATCCGCCAGTAGAAGGAGGCCAAGTTATAAAGCACCCATGAAGAAGAATTCTTAGAAAGTGAGAAAAAGACAGTTCTTCGTTAATCTTAAGAAATGACATTTCCAGCTGACTTCTGCTTTATCTACAAGCCTTTAAAAACTGAACCATAAAGGAAAACGAAGTTCCCACACATTCCCACTAATAAATCTTAATTCTTTTCCAGTTAATCGTGAGTACACAACTACTTGAATGACATTTTTATGGCAGGTACCGATCCTAGGTATTAATAAATGAAAACAATTATTCTTATTAATATCTTCAATTAGACACAAAAATTATGCTGATACACGGCCAATATCAAAATACTATTTTGTCTAAAGAGATTAAAAAAGAAAAACACAAAATGAATCACTTTAAATGCTACATCACATCATTATAATGTACAGTAAAAAAAATGGATATTAATTTTGAGATTTGCTAAAATGACCTTTAACAGTGTTATTAAGTGATTAGTGTTCTTAAAGATTAACTTTAACTGACCATTAGACGATGGCAAAAGTAATTTAAATGTAAAAATAGGGGAAATGAGCGTGAATTAAATATCTAATATTAGTCAATATTCCCAATATTAACAGAAACTGATATAAATAAAAACTCTAATACAGTCTGTTAAAAAGTATGGTACTGATATATCATGCATCCTTAAAAATTCCTAACATTTACTGTGGTTAGAAGAAGGACTCCGCTTTCTAATCAAAGATGCTCAAAGTAAAGCACTTTATGACTGTGCCATAAAAATGTATTAGCTTTGATTCACAAAGGTGCCTTTGTGACTCAAAGCTAAAAAAGTTTCTTACGTTTCTAATAAAGTTCCCTGTTGTGCATATTGATGCTAATTTGCATCTTATAAAGCACAATAATATTATTTTAGAGGAGAACATAACTACAAAGATTTCCAGTAACTATAAAAAATACCAGACTTTTCCAGGTCTAGAAATCACAACTGCAACATTTCAAGGTTTTCCATGACTGTGAGAACCCAGAACTTTATAAATAAAGCAAATCAACTTACTCTTAGAAGTGCCTCGTGTATCCGATGCCCAACCTCATCCACACTCTGTCCCAGCTTAAGAGACAGGGAGGTAAAGATTGGGTCATCCTTTGAAACCAAGGGTGATGTTAAGTTTACCTTTTCTTGTACACCCTGAGAGGGAAAAACCAATGAGCAAAAAGACAATGAGCCCATGTTCGAGAGACAAGTTGGCATGAAATGAAAATTCACCTTATAGATCTTATTGTAACTAATTCATCTGTGCATGCTTCATTTTTTTTTTTTATGTTTTGACCTCATAATGGTTAACCAAAATGACATAACTGGACCTTCTAGTGAAAACGGCAGACTTCTTTCGTGGCACATGAAGAACTTCTTCAATCATTTAGTCTGCTTAAACCCTGTGCTGCAAGCTCATATTCATTTGGAATAAATATGTTAATGATAGTATCTTTAATGTTTTTGAAAGAAGTATCTTATGTTCATTAAGGCTGCATTTATTTAATAATAAATGTATATAAATCAGCATATGAGAATGATTTCTGAAAGATCATGAAGACTGGCGTAAAGGCTGATGAAAAGTCAGCTTTACCACAGGTATAAATTACATTTAAAATATATTAAAATAGAAAAACAGTATTTTAAACTGTAATAATATTTCACAATATTATTGTTTTACTGTATTTTTGATCAAATAAATGCATGCTTGATGAGCATTAAAGACTTCTTAAAAAACATTAAAAATCTTTTGACCAATAGTGTATGTATGGGTGCAGCTTAAAGCACTCAAAACACTCACCCTGAGGTGCTGAAACGCATGAATGCTATAAGGAAGGTCGAGGATTTTAGCGCAGTCAGGTTTTTCCAGGTCTGGAGGTAGAGGTGACATCTGATCCAAAAAATCCTCTGGACTAGAAAACAACAACAATAAAACCAGAATGGCATATTCTACAATGACAACTGAAATGATCAACACATATAAAAAAACACAGGGAAACATATTTCTTCCATAAGCAAACACCACTTACTTTATGTCTTTGCTCTCCAGGGATATAAAAGTGCCATCATAGAGATCCAAGTCTCCCAGAGGAACTTTAGCTGTGACACAGTCAGCATCTTCTTTATAGTGTCGCTGCTCTAAACCAGTATCCCGGTCCTCGTTCTCTTCGATGTGAATCTTCTGAGCAACTAGTTGCTTCTGCAAAATGTACAATAACTCACTGTCAGACAAGTGTTCAGGGAAGCATACCTTTACCTCTAGAGCTGCCTTCTTCAAGACAAAATTCACTGTAAAAGATTATGTTATGATGAATGTGAGGCATAACATCACCTCTAACTTCTTGAGGTAGTTCACACGAGTCTCCTGTTGCATGAAAAGAACTAAATGGTGGGGATGTTTCAAGTTAAGAGGAGAATCCACCTGGAAACGAGAGGGAGCATGAAAAAGGCTAAATCAATGCGCGCGCACATGCTTTGAGCAAGAGTCACTGCCTGACAGATATCAGGTCAGAGGTTAGAAAACACCAAGAAGCCAAATCAGGCTGATGATTTGGCCAGTAGTATTGAATCACCACACACTAGTGCGCTGTTATATTGTTATACGCAGCAGACAACAGCTGTCAACACATGAGATCGACACACGCATCTGTCTGACAGCTGTATAAAGCAGTGTCAGTGAGGAACAATCCGATTAGAAAGCTACTGCTGAGAACTGTCAATATCTTGTCACAGTATATCAGGTCAGAGGTTAGAAGACACCAAGAAGCCAAATCAGGCTGATGATTTGGCCAGTAGTATTGAATCACCACACACTAGTGCGCTGTTATATCGTTATACGCAGCAGACAACAGCTGTCAACACATGAGATCGACACACGCATCTGTCTGACAGCTGTATAAAGCAGTGTCAGTGAGGAACAATCCGATTAGAAAGCTACTGCTGAGAACTGTCAATATCTTGTCACAGTGGAGTGACTAAACACGACAGTCTCGTACCTGCTGTTGGATTTTGCCGTCCTCAGTCACCACCCAGTGCGTGGTGGCTCGCGCGGGCTCGGCCAGCAATATACAGATAAACATGAACGCCGGTCCTCGGATGGAAGGGCTCCAGAACCGTTTATTAGTGTAATAATTGCCTGTGATCTTGCTCTTGTCATCCGCCATCTTTTTACCGTCTGCCCATTCGACCCTAAAGGTTCGCGTCATTCGCCACAATCTGCTTCCGGGTTACCCGAGTGACCCCGCCTCCCCGCATAACCCAAACATTCGCCACATTGATTTTAATTTCCCAGTTATTACAGAATATATCATCATAACAATAAAATAAATTAATTAAAAAATCACCAATGTTATGCCATTTCAGTAAAACGATTTTGTTTCAAACTAACTTGCTATATGTTAGTCAAGGTCTACTGGTTTAATCTCTTCTTTTTTTTATTCAGAGCAACAACAGTTTATAACATAATTAAAAACCAAGAATAGCAAAAAGTTAATAAAGCCAGATATATAATTACATGTACAACTCATACACGAATCATAAAAGCATTTTAAGAAGTCAAAACAATGTAGAGACTATGTAATATAATGTACCCACTTAATTCAGTTAGCAAAACGTTGGGGTTTATATTTGTACGTTTACATTTCCATATGCGATAATACATAAGATTGTTTATAATTATTTTAATCGGTGAAACCAAAAAGCATGTTTTCCAAACAACTGCAGATTTTTTTTCCTTCTGTAAATATAATTGTTTAAAATCAATAAAGGTTTTTAAGACTCCTATTAAAGTTTATTTTTCAATCAATCAATTTGTGCTTAAAAAGAAAGTTATGTAGAATAGAGAAGGCATAGCAATAGTAAGACCTTCTATTACAGTGGCTCCATTATTATTATCCGTTATTTAAATATGCTGTTTGTAATGTAACTTGCTAACAAATTGCTAAGTAAGAGCAACAACTGGATGTGAATTTACATGCTTGAGGAATATAACAACTGCATAAATAAAATAGCAACTTGTTTGGAATAAAACCGAATTCAAGATTCAAAAATCTTAGATATTAGTGACAGAAAAAATAGTTCGACTAAGATAATGACAGGACTCGCAGAATGTTCAAAAGTGAACTTTTATGTAGTGAATTGTACAATACTTTAAAGAATGAAATAAAGTATTTTACATTGTGCAAAACATTCAAAAGCATACCATAAAATACATTGTGATTTTGACAAAATTACCAATACTGAGAAATAACTAGAATTTATTTATTTTTTAAAAAGTCTTAATTTGTTAGGGACAACTGAACAGTTGTAACATTAAAATGTACATGCATTTGTTACATTACAAGTACTGAAAATGCAGTGCTTGTCCTAGTGTTAAAGTGAACATACATGTAGAATACCTCAGAGACATTTAAATATATATTACCTTCATTTACATATAAAAATGCATAGCTATAGCTATAAAGAACAAGAGCCCATAAGCCATCATCTAAAGATTCCAGTCCTAATAGCAAAGTGTTGCATGCAGTAGAGTTAAAGCTGAATGATGGTTGAGTTCAGGATTTCAGGTACATGTTTTGATTTAGATGACTTGGAGAGGTCTCGCTGTGACAAGAAAATGACAGATTAAGAGACATTTTGACTTGTAAATATGTTTCTGAACATTGAACAATGAGGTTATACATAATATATACTGGATATATTTACAGCCTATAATACAATCTAAAAACCATCATATACTGTAGCAGAACAAAGAGTGACAGATGTTGGCAATCAGACATTACCTGAATTATAAATAAATAGAGATAGTCTTGGTTAGAAGTGTGAATTATGGGGTAAAAAGCAGTCCAGTACAAAGAGAGGTCAAGAGGATGTAAAAGTGCAACTAATCAGAAATAGTACATGCACCACAAATGCCTTCAGAGGTGAATGAAAACTTAATTTATTTGTTTTTTATAAAAATCAATCATATGGAACTTGTCCCACCTGCCTACAGTTCAAATAAAAATTCAAGTGAGAATGTAAATATATTAGAAATTATTTGTTAAGTATTCATGTAACAATGTACAGTCAGCCAATAATTTCTTCTAAATACAGGACCCTGCCTGTCTTAAAGACCCCAAGGGGTTATTTCAATAACTACCATCTGACTATGCATTATTCCTACATACTTTATAAAAGTGTTTAGTAAAATACATAAGGTGTTAGTTTTATTATACAGTAAAACATAAACAGTTAAAACAGTGTTAGCTAGGGTGTTTAAGCAGTGTGCTTAACCATACCGTTAAATAGGCAAACTTTAGGCTATTTGGAAATAAATCTCTAACAAACCTTGATTATATGGATTCAGGCTTGACAACTTCCTTTAGAAACAATTTTTTTAAATTTTATTAGCATAACATTATGCCAGTATCACCAATTTTTAAATCATTAAAAGGAATAGTTCACTCATAAAAATTTGCTGAAAATTAATTCACCAACAGGCCATTCAAGATGTAGCTGAGTTTGTTTCTTCATGGGAAAATCACTTGCTCACCAATGGATCCTCTGCAGTGAACGGATGCCCTCAGAATGAGAGTGATAAAAACATCACAATAATCCACTCCAGACCATCAATTAACGTCTTGTGAAGTGAAAAGCTGCATGGTTGTAAAAAACAAATCCATTTACACATTTTAACTTTAAACTGTCACTTCTGGCCAAAATAAAAGTTAATAATCCATAATAACGCTTCCTCAAGTCCATCCCCTGTTGTCCTCTGACATCAAAATCCACAGATACATCTTGTTTAGAACTGTTGTCTCTTGAAAAGTGTGCATATTTCTTTCCTGATTCAGATGAGACGACTTTTTAACAGGAGAAACCAATATTATAGATAATAAAGGACTTGTATTTTAGCAAGTTTCAAGTTAAAAACATCTTAATGATGGATTTTATTACACATCTTTTTCATGTTAGATGTCAATTGATTGCCTGGATTTATGTTGATTACTTGTGGATTATAGTGTTTTTATCAGCTCTTTGGACTCTCAATTTTTTTTTACCAAATCAGTTCTGATAAAGAAACAAAGCCATCTACATCTTGGATGACCTGGGGGTGATTACATTTTCAGCAAATTGTAATTTTTGGGCGAGCTAATCCTTTAAAACACAATTCAGTTCAAGCTCTTGCTCTCTTTGTCCAGACTGTGAGTTACTGATGGAGAAGATGAAGAGTTTACCTGAAATTCTGAATAGGTGCTTGCGACAGAGTTAATGCTGAAGTTACGCTGTGGACTAGCTGGCACCTTTGTCATCCCAGCCACGCCACCAGTTAGATGACAGATATTCTCCTTATTGCGTTCTTGCAAACCTTGATGAGGAGGTTTGCTGTGGCCTGGAGTCCTCACATTACCCTGCTTTGAAAGAAGACACGTAAGGGAAGATGTAACATTAACTTAGTTAATCAGTAAAGGATTGAGCAAATTAGTTAAGCTTGAGTACAATAGTTTTGTTATGGCCGTGGCGTGCACTGACCTTGATTGCTGAAATCGGAGGGCGCGATATAGGAGAATGGCAGACAGTACCACCAAAGACAGATCGGATAGTGCTGTTAGAAGTGCCAGTACTGGAGGTAGCGTTTAGCTGAGGAAAAGCCAGAGTTAATACTGCAACAGCCATGCATTCATTTAAAATGTATTGTGCAACAAGGTGTGTAATGAGAATAAAATCAACATGAACTTTTCACAACCCAGTCAATTCCCTATGGATAAAACATTAAATAGATCAAGTCCTGCCTTGCATGTTTTCTACTGATATACTTGTTTTCACTCACAAATTAGACACATTACATGTAAAATGGGCTGCGAGGGTTCCACGTTGACTTTAAATCTGCTGTCTTCATCAGGAAATAAAATCCTTTTGTACTTGCCTTTCGAGCTTTACAAGGTGTTGTGCTTCCCAGAAATCTTCGTTTAGTTGGTGTCCGGATCACAGTACCATAGACCATGTCCACCTCTGTCTGTTTGCTCTTCTTTAGTTGCTGCAAGAAATTTCTTGTATTATTAAAATCTATCAATGTTAAATCTTTCTCATGGTTTTCAACTGGTCATTCTCTAATAATGCATAATTCCTGAATACAAACTACTCTTGGGTTAATGCATCAAAATCACACTTAATTCACAGCTCTAGAATACATGTATATTCCAATGCCCAGTAAAGTGAAATACACACATACCCGCTCCTGTTTTTCCCGCTCCTTCTCCAGCCGGTACGACTCCCATTGATCAGTAACAAACTGCGTGAACTTTTGACCATTCACCTGAAACTCTCTGTTCTGTTCATGTTCCCACTGTTCAATCTCAGCCTTCAGCTTCTTCTCAAGCTAAATGAGAGAGACTCAATTACTACTAAGCTTACATCATATTACCATTCAAACGTTTTGGGTTGGCAAGGTTTATAAAGTCTGTTATGCTCACCAAGGTTGCAGTTATTTGATCAAAAATAAAGTAAAAACAGTAATATTGTGAGATATCATTACAACTTAAAAATAAATGTTTTCCATTTTGATATATTTTAAAATGTAACTTAATCCTGTGATGACAAAGCTGAATTTTCAGCAGAAATTACTCCAGTCTTCAGTGTCACACGATCCTTCAGAAATCATTCTAATATGTTCATTTGGTGCTCAAGAAACATTTCTATTATCAATGTTGAAAACAGTTGTGCTGCTTAATATTTTTGTAGAAACCATGATTAGTACAGAGTTAGGTGATGCAAAAGCATATGATGAATATTTTCAGTTAGTTCAACTTACTTCAAGCTCTAAGAAAAGTCTCCAGCTTTCCTCCCATTTGTGAACACCTTCAAAAAGATCTTTATGATCCTCATAGTACTGTTTAAGCCGCACTATTTCTGCATCATGTAAGCTTAGGAGTTCCTCGCTTAAATCATCTTAGAAAAAAAGCAACCTTTAAATCTTTATTTTATTACAAAAGACAGGCAGATTTTGAAGTCAACAATGTAATATAGAAAATTACTACTCACCATCATAAAAGGGCCCAAAAGCTTGCCGTTGGTCAGAGCTATAAAAGCACTTATCCCAGAACACGGCAATCTCATTCCGAATGGCCTCAGTAACATTTTGAATATTTTTAAGCTTCAGTTCTTCAAGACGTTTGACCTCAGCTTGTAACTGACAGTAGAGGACATAAAAAATTAATTGTGTGTTCAATACAATGGTTAGCCATTTAGAAGCCTTAATTCAAAGTTTCTGCAGGATTTTTAAACTCAAATTTAAGACTTTTTAAGACCTGCACAAATAAAATTAATACCATTATGAGCGGGGTAGGGCAATGTCTATAGTAACATATTAAAGTGTAAAATTACTATAAAAAGCATGATTTACGGTTCAGATAGAAGTTAACAAAAACAAAGTTTTATAAAATGATACACTTCACATTTCAGCCTTTAAACCATTTTAAATAAAATGGATGAGTCAAAAGTATTAATTATTATATTAATTTAAACAATTATTATCAATAAATTATTATATTAATAAAATAACAAAATACATTTTACTGTTTAGATTTTTATAATGCATTATCTTCTTATTGATCCACCAGTTCGCATTTACAGCTGTGTGTTTGCAGGGTTAAAAACATGGGTCAATTTTCACATTGGTCTGAACAAAAACAACCCCAATACTGTGTTCCTGCAATACCGGAGGCTGCAGTTTCAGGACCACGTTTCAACTAGGACACTATTTTTCTGTGACAGAGCCATCTAGCCAATTCTATTCCAACAGAGGAGACCTGATTCAAACATCAAACAAACAGATGCAAAGACTAGACAGGATTCTTTGATGAATAGAAAGTGCAAAAGAACATCATTTATTTGGATTAGAAATCTTTGAATGTAAAAACCTTCAATTCAATCCATTCTTGCTGAATTAAAGTATTAATTTAGTTAAAAAAAAATAAAACTTACTGACCCCTATGGCAGTATAGGTGATGTCAGCAATCGCCATTTAGCCTATTTAGGTGTGCAAAACAGTTCACTGTGCTGCTGGATGTTGTAAACTAGTATTTGTATTCAAATTATTTTATATTTATTAATGTACTAATAAACACACTAATTTGTACCGCAATTTTTTTTACCGTTTACTGCACTTTTGTTTGGTAGTGGGTCACACATCAGATGTGAAGTGCTGCGCTGCAGCTAATGAACAAGTCTCGCAAAGACACAAGTCTTTCTTTCTAAGAAAACAGAATTTAAAACCTACTCCTGAAATCTTAATTAAGACTTTCTTGTACAATTTAAGACTTTTTAAGACCCCGCGGGAACCCTGTAATTAATGCAAGGTTATATAATTAAGGTAAGGAAAAAGGTCAAAAGGTTACTAACAGCTTGCATATTTCTTTTCTTTGACAGGGTCATGTGTTCACAAACTGCATCACGCTCATCCTGTGGAATCTGCAACCGTTCCCATAGTTCATGGATCTTCTCCCGATAAGAGCCACAGACACGTTCATTCTCTGTCTTTCTGGTCTCCAACTGAAATGTTTAAATACGGAGTTATATAATTGTTTACAATGTTTAGAGTATGTCAGATTGAGCTTATGTTGTACCTGGTGAAGGAGGACTTTGAGTGAATCAATGTTTTCTTTAGACAAGCAAAAACTCTCTTCATCTTCACAAACGACATCCTTTTCAAAACTAGTCTCAGGCAACTGATCCAGATCATCCATGCAAAATATTATTTGCTTCTTCAATGTGACAAATTCGTTGTGTCTTCGTTCCTTTAAACATATATATATAAAAAAAAACATTGTATATCAAACTGAACACAATATTTCAATTGCTGAGACATTTATAAGAGTGTAGTATTTAAAACAAAGACTTAATGTCATACTTTCTCAGCAGTGAGAGAGGAGATGTGTTGATGGAATTTCTCCAGCTGTTCCAGGGAAGGAACAGAACCAGCAGAGATAGAAAACGGCTGCAAGCAGAGCAGGTCACAGAGATCCTGATCCTGCTCGGTTAAGGCTTTGAGCGCTTGCATTCTCTGATTTTTCTCCTTTAACATCACTTCAACATGCATCCGGAGGTCTTTTTCCTGTTGTAGCATTGTGCTACTTCTGTCCTCCTAAAATGATTATGAACCAGAACCACAAAAAATATGTTTATTCATTCTGTTGTGACCTCATACAATCAAAATTGGAGTTATGTGGCTTTTAGTGTATTAGCTATAAAGACATTTTCTACTGGTCAAAAGTTTGGAATCATTCATGCTCACCAAGGCTGCATTTATTTGATTAATAATAATAGTAATTATAATAGTCATCATATAATAGTAAAAACAGTTATATTGTGAAATAAAATAATTTAAAATAACCTTTTTTTTTTATTTTAAAATGTAATAATTTTTTCCTGTGATGACAAAGCTGAATTTACAGCAGCCATTACTCCAGTCTTCAGTATAACATGATCTTTCAGAAATCATTCTGATACACTGATTTGGTGCTCAAGAAACATTTATGTTGAAAACAGTTGTGCTGCTTAATATTTTTGTGGAAACCGTGATATAGTACTGTTCAAAAGTTTGCGGAAAGTTAGATTTTTAAAGAGATTAATACATTTATTCAGCAAGGATGCGATAAAAAGATCAAAAGTGATAATAAATCCAAAATAAAAGTTTTTTACTTTCTATATATCAAAGAATCCTGAAAAAAATGATCAGTTTCCACACAAATATTAAGCTGAACAACTGCTTTCAACATATAGTGTATATCAGTATACAGGTGCATCTCAATAAATTAGAATGTCGTGGAAAAGTTCATTTCAGTAATTCAACTCAAATTGTGAAACTCGTGTATTAAATAAATTCAATGCACACAGACTGAAGTAGTTTAACTCTTTGCTGATAGTGTACTGTATATCTGCTTTTACAGTATTTTTGATCACAAAAATGCAGCCTTGGTGAGCGTAAGAGATTGCTTTCAAAAACAAAAGAAAAAAAATCTCAGTTCCAAACTTTATTCAAAATCTTTTTTTTTCTGGTTACCATGGTGTTATCTAAAGTATGTATCCAGAGTAAATACTCACCTGAAATGGGGGGAGCTGCAGTTCCAAGCACAAGTTACTCAACTCTTTTTGACATTTCTCAATACTTGTCATCAGACGTTTCCGCAGACTCTCTTCCTCCACAATCATCATGTCCAGAAGACTCTAAAGTACATGTTTTGTTAGGTTATCACTGAAAACACTCTTTCATAGGATTCACAGGGCCGCATTAACCTGTAGCGTCTCGACCAATCTGACACACTAATTTTTATTTGATTTAACAAATCAATTATTCATTAGATTAACAAATCGTCACAGTCCCCTCACTCAATAAACTGGATGCCAGGATTATTTAATATGATATGATATGATATATGATATGATATGATATGCAGGGCCGCATTAACCATTGTGCTAGGCGGGGCTGAAGCCCCGGGGCCCGAGCAAGGAGGGGGCCCGTGATTGGCTGTGGAGTAGATTGACGGACATCGGTAGCGCCGATCGCCAGAGCCCCAACACGCCCCTCAATTTTTTGCGCTATTATTTAGTGGAGTTTTTCCGTAAATTCCATGCATTACCATTAGAGATTAAAACGTCACATTTGAATTTGGTTTACCAATCAAATGCATTTATTATAGGGCTGTGCGATATGGACAAAAAAAACCTATCGCGATTTCTTTGATCAATTTTGCGATTTCGATTTTAATCACGGTTTTGACACACACAGACATGCTTTACAGTCATTAATGCATTCAGTGTGAATTTATGCATTTATGGTGTAATTACTAAATTTCCGTGTCAATCCATGTTAATTTTTACCGCGAATAATGCGCTGCCACTTTAATTCAGCGCGTGCAGCACAGCAGAAATAGATTCCGTGCAGAAACGATCGCAGAATGACTGCTGCAGACGCACCGCTCCTGGAGCGCACTGCCGCACCGCAATCGCGTGCGTGAGTGTGCGAACCTGGCGTTACGTTTGTATGCCCGCCCGGTCTGTTCTGTTCTCCGTTTATATTCGCTTAACAGAAGTTCATTTTGCGCGTTATGATGTAAGCTTTTAATTAAAACGCATTTTAAGCATTGTGGTTTAAAAACGAATTTAACTGTTCGGGGACATTAAGCTGTGGGGCATAATTCATTTAGGCAAATGCGCGCGTTAAGACGGTTTCTGATACTTGCTCGTACAGCGCCTGACTAAACTAAGAGTTATTTTTCGCGCCTTGTGTTTAAACGTTCGAACACACATAGTTATGTGTCAAAATGCCTGTCTCCGACCTCGTCAACACAGTCATTTGTGTCTTAGATGAACGTTAATAGTTAAAGATAAAGCATGTGCACTAGTTGGCTATTATGCGATCCTGGCATTATATGATGAGATTTTAAAGGGATATTCACCCAAAAAATTAAATACTGTCATCATTTACTCAGTTTCAAGTTGTTCTGAACCTGTATGAATTTCTTTGTTCTCAACATAAAAGAAGATATTTTGAAGAATATTCGTAACCACCAGAAAGTTTCTGGTCCCTGTCGACTCCTGTTTTTTTTCTCTCTCTCCGTACTATGGAAGTCATGGGGGCACAGACACTGTTTGGTTACCAGTAGGCTATTGTTACAAATATATACGTTTGCATTCAACTGCAGAATGAAACTCATTCAGGTTTAGAACAACAACAACATAACTTTAATTGCGTGCGTGAGTGTGCGAACCTGGCGTTACGTTTGTATGACCGCCCGGTCTGTTCTGTTCTCCGTTTATTTATATTCGACAGAAGTTCATTTTGCGCGTTATGATGTAAGCTTTTAATTAAAACGCATTTTAAGCATTGTGGTTTAAAAACGAATTTAACTGTTCAGGGACATTAAGCAGTGGGGCAGAATTCATTTTGGCAAATGCGCGCGTTAAAGACTGTTTCTGATACAGCATAAACAGACTAAACTATTTTTCGCACCTTGTGCTTTAACGTTCGAATACACATAGTAATGTGTCAAAATGCCTGTCTCCTTGTCAACACAGTCATTTGTGTCTTAAATGAACGTTAATA